AATCAGGTGGTCTCAGATTTTTGACCCTTGGATCTCAGTTTTTTTTTCTACAGTGCTCAAAATATATGGTAGATCCTATTAAGTTATTCTGTACTTAAAACCTTTTCTGCACTTAAAACCTCTTCTATAAAACTTTCTAAAGTGTTTTCCCTGATCTTAACATATTTTATCAATTCTAATCTCCCAACTCTGACTCCACCTTACTTCTCTTATCTATTTTATTTGCAACTCTTCTATGATTAACAATGAAAGTAAAGTTTACACGCGTCAATACATAATAACACACACATATATATCGAAAATATGTTTATATGTCTATATATATAAAAATGCGAAACAATATATGATTGTTTCATTTCAAATGCCTTTTATGGCAAATTCGATGTTTACCACCACTTCGCCACCCGGCCACTTACATTTCACTCAGTGGCTGAGTGGCATGTGGCAAAAATGTTGCTACCTCCTGAGGCATTTCATTGGGTTCGAATCCCGCTTAGCGATTTTTTGTGTCTGTGTGCAATTAATTTACTTTAGTAATTATGGCAAATAACATAATTTGTTAATTGTTTTCGATGTTGTTGTTGTGGTTATTGTTGCTATTGCTGTGCAGTCAATGGAAAATAAAAGCAAAAAAAAAAAAAAAAAAAATAAAAACTGAAAAAAAGTAACAACTGAAAGAAATGCCGCAAAAGAAATATTAGATGTGGAATTTCATGGTATAAATGTTTTTGTTGTTGGTTTCTTTTATAGAAATGTGGAAATATTAAATTTCAAATAGTTTTTTGAAAAAAGTATATAGAAATTAATAAAGTTATTAGCTGGGAGTTCAATCACTTTTTTTAAATTTGGTGTGGTGTGTGTAAATAGATCGATTAGTTTTAAATGTTTGTGTAAACCTCCATATGCTCTCCCTGTGATTCTGTCATTCTTCATAATGTGATATGTATTTTAAATAAATCTAGACCTATGGATGACTCCTGGAAAAATATGATAATGGTGAACATAGGTCTATATTTTTATATAGTCTTTAAATAAGAAGTCTGCCTATTATAGAAATTTCCTTTTTAAGATGTTGAAGATCAATATTCATGACCCAGGCCACATATTTCTACCGAAGTGTTTGTAATCAGGTATTCTCGGTTTTGAGAGGATAAAATAACTCATAAGGTCCTGGTCATATGTTACATGCGTTTAACCCATACAAACATATGTTCAACCCAGTAAAATATACATTTTTTTATTATTAAAAATCATTTAGTAAAAAATATTTTTGAGCCCAGTTTTTGAAAAATTTTAAAAATGTAAATGTATTTAAGAAATAGCAAAAAAGTGCAGGCCTCAAAACACACACACAATCTAGTGTTTATATAATACTAGCAGACACGGCAAACGTTGTTTTGCCCTATCAGAATTGCATCATTTTTGCACCCAATGTCTATTCGGGTAAAACACCAAGAAACTATATAGCGCGCCATCTGTGGGACGAACTTAAAATTACACGAGAAACACTCCTCACGCCCCATAGAGCAAATACATAAAATGTGGTCAAAATCGGTGCAGTAGTTCTTGAGTTACGTTGCAAAAACACAAAACTAAATATTGCGCCATCTGTCGGATGAACTTCAAACTACACAGAAACACTCCTCACACCCCATAGTGCCTGTACATACAATTTGGTCAAAATCGGTGCAGTAGTTTTTGAGTTTAGCGATCACGAACATATACGTAATTTTTATATTTATATAGAGATAGAGATTTAGAATAACCTTTACATTTTCCTAGGCTAACAAAATATTTGTTAAAATCTTTAGACCTGGTGATTAGGATCAATTTGAGGCTTTCCTAGTAGGTTAAGTATAGGTATGAAAGTACAAAACCCATTAAATTGTGACGTAGCGGCGGCATACTTCAAATGTGGCGAAATGTAGATGTCGCCATTAGATCAATAGCAAAGACAATGATCACAGGGCGAAAACGAACATTGAATGGCTACAAAAATCAAATATAGAAAAGGTGTTTTTTTTTTGCTAATCACCTATTTGCCAATTTTGTATATTTCTTAAATAGTCTACAAATTGGCGTGGATTTTTTAAATATATATTTTCAATGCCTATCCTTAGGCGTGTATTTTTTAAACTTATTTTTCCAAGTTTTATATAAAGCGTAAAGAATATTTTTCTAAGCCTCCAAACAAAGCGTAGATTTTTTAAAGAATATTTGTTTAAGCCTCCAAACAAGGTGTAGATTTTTTAAAGAATATTTTTTCAAGCCTCCAAACAAGGCGTAGATTTTTAAAGAATATTTTTTCAAGCCTCCAAACAAGGCGTTGATTTTTTAAAGAATATTTTTTCTAAGCCCCAAAGCCCTAAACAAGGCGTAGATTTTTTAAAGAATGTTTTTTCAAGCCTCCAAACAAGGCGTTGATTTTTTAAAGAATATTTTTTCTAAGCCCCAAAGCCCTAAACAAGGCGTAGATTTTTTAAAGAATATTTTTTGTAAGCCCCAAAGCCCCAAACAAGGCGTAGATTTTTTAAAGAATATTTTTTGTAAGCCCCAAACAAGGCGTAGATTTTTTAGAGAATATTTTTTGTAAGCCCCAAAGCCCCGAACAAGGCGTAGATTTTTTAAAGAATATTTTTTGTAAGCCCCAAACAAGGCGTAGATTTTTTAGAGAATATTTTTTGTAAGCCCCAAAGCCCCGAACAAGGCGTAGATTTTTTAAAGAATATTTTTTGTAAGCCGCAAAGCCCCAAACAAGGCGTAGATTTTTTAAAGAATATTTTTATGCTTCCAAACCCTATAAGTCGATTTATGCATGTCCGTCCGTCTATCCATGTTAAATTGTAAACAAAGTACAGGCCGCATTTATTATCCGAATTGGATGAAATTTGGCACAGTTCATTTGTTTGGCCCAAGGACGAATCCTATTGAAATTGGGAAATATCGGTTCAGATTTAGATATAGCTCCCATATATATAATTTCGTCTGATTTTAAGGTAAATGGTTCAAAGTCCCTAAATATCGATTTGCACGAAATTTGGCACAGCGTAATGAATAAGGTCTAGAATGATGTGCAAAGTTTCGCGAAAATCGGTTCAGATTTAGATATAGCTCCCATATATATTTTCGTCCGATTTAATGTAAATGGTGTACCAAAGTTCCTATATATCCTTCGATTTGCACGAAATTTGGTCTAGAATGATGTGTGCAAAGTTTCGTGAAAATCGGCTCAGATTTAGATATAGCTTCCATATATAGCTTCGCCCGATTTTAGGTAAATAGTTCATTAAAGTCCCTGGAAATCTTTTGACTTGAACGAAATTTGGCATATCGTACTGGATCGTGTCTATAATAATGTGTACTAAGTTTCATGAAAATCGGTTCAGAGTTAGATATAGCTCCCATATAAAGTTTCGCCCGATTTTAGGTAATTGGTGCACCAAAGTCCCTGGAAATCTTTTCATTTGCACGAATTTTGGCATAGAGTACTGAATTAAGTTTAGAATGATGTGTGCAAAGTTTCGTGAAAATCGGTTCAGATTTGGATATAGCTCTTATATATATCTTCGTCCGATTTAAGGTAAATTGTGCACCAAAGACCCTATATATCTTTCGATTTGCGCGAAATTTGGCACAGCATACTAAATTAAGCATAGAATGATGTGTGCAAAGTTTCGCGAAAATCGGTTCAGATTTAGATATAGCTCCCATATATATTTTCGTCCGATTTTATGTAATTGGTGCACCAAAGTCTCTGAAAATTATTCGATTTGCACGAAATTTGTCATAGCGTACTGAATTAAATCTAGAATGATGTGTGAAAAGTTTAATGAAAATCGGTTCAGATTTAGATATAGCTCCCATATATAGTTTCGAACGATTTTAGGTAAATAGTTCATTAAAGTCCCTGGAAATCTTTTGACTTGCACGAAATTTGGCATAGCGTACTGGATTGTGTCGATAATAATGTGTGCTAAGTTTCAGATTTAGATATAGCTCCCATATATAGTTTCGACCGATTTTAGGTAATTGGTGCACCAAAGTCCCTGGAAATCTTTTCATTTGCACGAATTTTGGCATAGCCTACTGAATTAAGTCTAGAATTATGTGTGCAAAGTTTCGTGAAAATCGGGTCAGATTTAGATAAAGCTCCCATATATATTTTCGATTTGTACGAAATTTGGCAAAGGGTACCAAATTGAGTCCAGAATGATGTGTGCTATGTTTCGTGAAAATTGGTTCAATTATAGATATAGCTCCCATATATAGTGTTGTCAGATTTTATGTAAATACAAAACTTTGCACAGTGTACTGAATTGAGTCTCGAATGACGTGTGTTAAGTTTTTTGAAAATCGGTTCAGATTTAGATATTAGGTAAATGGTGCACCAAAGTACCTATATATCTTTCGATTTGCACTAATTTCGTTATAGGGTACTGAATTAAGTCTAGAATGATGTTGTTAAGCTTCGTGAAAAGATCCATAGCTATGCCGATTAACACAACGTACTGATGTATAACGTACTAATATAAATTAGTCTCTGGCAAGTTTCCCCGAAATCGGTTCAGATATAAATTACAAAAATGCGTCGTCTGTTAGGATACATATGTAGAATATACCCAAAGTGGTGAAGGGTATATATAGCCGCCCCAGTCCGACTTTACTACTTTCCTTACTGGCTTTTCTACAAAAGAAAAAAAATCTGAGGTCCCTGTGACTCTCAGAAGAGTTCAGATTCTTGTTAGACTCACAGAATAAAATTTCGGTGCCCGTGGGTTGCACATTCCAGAAGAAAATTGTTTTCACATCTGTACAAATATTTTTCCATGATATGGGATGATATGAGACCTAAACAAATATTTGTATTACAATAAAAAAAATTCTATTGCCAAGGTCATCCCGAAACCTTGGCAGCTGTTGCACCCTTTACCTCCAATATTTTGTTTAATTTTTTTCCCGTTTTTTTCTTTTCCTTCCAGTTACCAAATTAGTTCTACACTATGATGTCATCATCATCATCATTGACAGCAACACTATCCTCATATCGAGCAACGTCATATCCACAAATAGACCATCGAACTGTTGTCTTTAAAAGTTCACAGCTGGAAGAGAATTTTTCGGGTAGCCTAAGTCGTGGTAGTAGTAAAGAGACCCTAATTGCTGGCGAAGAGAATTACCAAAAAACTTATTTTGTTGCAACCATACCACGTAGACCTGCAACGGCATTGCAAACAACAACAACAGCAGGAGCAGCAACACCTTACGTTTCACCAAGACGTCCGTTATCTGCCTTGGCTCAACACTCAACGACTAAAACGAAAATTCCATATCCATTGGCAACAATTTGGACCAACCGAAGAAATACGTTCCATTCCAGAGGTGTTCACAACGGCCACAATAACCATAACTGTGACAATTGCCGTAACATTTCCTCTGGTGGTGTTGGTGATGTTCCAATGCGCATGCCTGGCAATAAATCCAATTTAGCAACAACGTCGCTCATTATGGAACCTGTGGCAAATGAAACTTCATCATCGTCGTCGTCAACGACGATGGCAGCAGGGGTGGAATGCACTGCAGAAACCTCCCACAACAACACAACGCCAGCAAACGTTAACAGAACCGGTGGTCGTTTCCAAAACGTACGGCATAAACTGGCTTTAATCACTCAGCAGAAGCCGAAGGAACCTTCAACGGATGCAACATTGGAACGGTCATTATCCTTGCGTAAAAATTTCAAATATTCCAATCAGAAAACAACGGAAGGCGACCAGCGACGAACCGCAGGCATAACGGAGAACCAAAAAGGAAATACAAAAAATAATCTTCTAACACCAGGAGCCCACAATGGACAACAAGAGGAACAAATCTATAATAAAAAGGATACAATCGATGCAAAGGATCATCAATCAATAAAATCCACAATAAAAACAAACATGGATAAACAATCGTCACCAACTTCAACCACTGCATCATCATCAGCAACATCGACAACAACAACGACACCAGGAACAGGCACATCAACAACAGATGGAATCATTAATGGCGACCTCCAACAGGATATTCAGAAAATGGTAAGTTTTCCTCAAGATTTTTTTATCGATAAAAAATTTTAATTCTCGTCGTCCTTTTTGGAGTTACATAAACTCTTGTCCATGTCCTCCTTTTTTTGTTTCTGCTGCGGAGTTTCGAGTTGACTATTGATTTTCTTGGCAAAAAAAGTGTTGGTGTATTTTCGTGGTAATTGCTGTTGTTGCAAAAAAGAGGAGCAACTCCATAACTATCTACGAATTTTTGTTGTTTTTTTGCCTCGTCCTGCAAAATGGTTTGTTTGTTCCACTTTTGTTTTCGCCTTTGCCACGAGCAGCCCTTTAACCATCCCACCTACCCTTCTTATCTTGGGGTTTGTTTTTATCGTGTTTTTCGTAGTGGATTTTTATGATTGTTTGGGTTTTTTGTGAGTTCTTGTTTTTTGTGTGTGTGTGTGTGTGGAAAATAAGGGTGGGGTAGCCACCAACCAGATGTGGACAATTTTTTAAAGGATTGAGAACAGTGATGTCAATTTTTTTGTAAAAGAGTGAGAAGTGGATAAATATCTCGTAAAACAACTCACAGTGCAATTTTGTTCATACAAGCCTGTTGTTTTATACTGATGATGAAGAAAGGAAAGTAGTAAAGTCGGACTGGACTGACTATATGATACCCTTCACCACTTTGGGTATATTGTACATATGTATCCTTACAATTGCATGTCAATGTTCCCTCGAAAGAACCTACCCATGCCTTTCATCAACCTATGCTAAATTTAATTTCATTCGGGCAGATTTAGAGTCGTCTGCGTACCATGGGACAAATTTATGGAAAACGATTTATATCAAAACTGATATTCGGTACGCCGCACTGTAAAACAATTAATTTCAATCAGACGCCCGGTCGAAATATATATGGAAGCTATGGCTGCATCTGCATCTCAGTCTCAATTTGATACGTTGTGAAAAATTTCGTGTTAATCGCAAAAATATTAGGAGTTTGCTGCACCATTTATGTAATGGGAGCTATATCGAAATCTGAACCGATTTTTCCGAAACTTACCACCACACATCATTCTAGACTCAATTCAGTACGCAATGCCAAATTTCGTGCAAATCGAAAGATATTTAGGGACTTTGGTGCACAATTTACATTAAATCGGACGAAAATATATAGGAGCTATATGGAAATCTGTACCGATTTTTCCGAAACTTAGCACATATCATTCTAGGCCTAATTCATTACGCTGTGCCAAATTTCGTGCAAATCGAAAGATATATAGGGACTTAAATCGGAGCTATATTTAAATCTGAACCGATTTTTCCCAATTTCAATAGGGTTCGTCCTTGGGCCAAATAAATGAGCTGTGCCAAATTTCATTCAAATCGGATGATAAATGCGACCTGTACTTTGTTTACAATTTAGCATGGACAGACGGACGGACATGAATAAATCGACTTAAAAAGTGATTATATGCATATTCTCAAAGGGAACCAAACAAACATATGCACATAGACATAATACCCTGTACCACAGTGTGGTGAAGGGTATACATATGTTTTAAATGAAAACCGATTTGTTTTGACTTTACATATATTTTGAAAGAAATTAAAGCCTGAAAATATATATTTTAAGACCAGAGAACAGAGCAGTATAGTAGGACAGGGCCGACCATATGATACACTACAAAATTACCATGGAACTCTGACTTTCCCCGGAACTATATTTCGCGTTATTTTCAACCTTTTGACCGATTAGAGGTCAACAGCTCCTCCTTCTTAACATGTCATATTTTCCGAATTTTGTTTTCTCGGGACAGAAATGTATTAGTTGATTTGACCCGTTAAATATTGCCTTTAAAAATAATAATAAAAATCCTTGCATTGTTTGAGACCTTCAAAAATAATCTAATAATAATTATCATTACCAAACACAAGAAGGGGGTCAAAATTTGGTCATACAGACGGACACACATGTTTAGATCAACTTAGCTAGTCGAGATATGGTGATCCGTATACTAAAAGGTGTTGCAACCTCTTGGGTCGACACAAAGCTATAATACTCCTACTATGAAAACCAAGCAAACATAGCTTGTAAAAATCAAATTCATTCTTGGTTTTTTTTTTAATTCTTAAAGAATTAATGCCTGAAACTTTTAACAATCTATACCGAAAAAAATATTATACCCTCAGCCTTATGGGTAATGATGAAAATGTGCCTCATCGAAATATTCGTTTTAGACCCCATTTTTCTTTGGACCGAATCCTTTACAGAAATTTTGAAGTCGATTTACAAATGTCCGTTCGTCTGGAATAATGTCTCGAAGGGAATAATCCATTTCATCCAAACTTTGCATATCTTAATATTTCTTTCAAACTTAGTTCAAGTTCGAAGATGGAGAATATCGGCCAACTCCTTCCGGTACCGAAATGGTTAAAATTGTGCTAAACATTCATTTTATAATATCATATGAACGGACTATCCGATTTGAACCAAACTTTGTACTACCTATTATCTTTACCAAGCCTAGATCAAGTCCGAAGACTCCTTCTGGTATCTTCCATAGGGTTAAATTTTCAATATTTATAAATCCAATGTCAGACGAATGAAATGTCCGATTTGAACCAAAGTTTGCCCAACCTATTATCTTTACCGAGCCTACATCCAGTCCGAAGGTAGGACCCGTCTGTCCTCTCCTCTGGTACCTCCCCCCAAAAGGGTCTATATGATATAAGCTTTAAATTATAAGGGGACCCCCCCCCATTCTCGGTTTCAAAAATTTTGTTGATTTAATTCGAATCTAAACTAATTCAAGAATGTCCCTACAAAATTTCAAGTGAAAATCTCAAGAACTCTTAAAGATATAGCCGTGTCAGCATCAAGTGACGGCTAAAGGGCTTCTCAAATTTTAAACGCGTTTTTCTCTTTTGCGATTGGCGGGCACGATAACTCAAAAACTAATAACCCAATGGATTCCAAATTTTTACACGTTTCACTGTGAGTGTATAGCTATCGTATGAACTAGGATAAAGCCAATCGGTGAAGATCTTCCTAATTTTGTAAAAATCGCAGATTTTCCAAAAATATTTTTTCAAAGGTCCGCCATATTGTTAATTTTAGAGCGAAGTTCATACGAGAGCCAGACATGTACTCTTTCTAACACCGTTGGAATTTTCGGATTCCGACGTTCCAGTGAGGAGTTATAATGCCCTCCATCAGAAATAAGGGCTTTTCTTTTATTACAAAAAACAATAACAAAAGGTGTCCCCTTAAATAAATTATGCACTAGTTAAGTCAGGAAAAAGTTTTCTTTTAAAAAACTATGCCTTTATTGGGCCTCAAAAATTATTCTTTAAAAAACCTACGCCTTTATTCGGGCTCGAAAATTATTCTTTTAAAAATTATTCCTTAAAAAAAACTACACCAACTGGACTTTGAGAAATTGCTCTTTAAAAAATCTACGTTTTTATTGAGCCTTGAGAAATTATTCTTTTAAAATTCTACGACAAAACTGTAACCTCTGAAAAATATATTTAAAAAACCTCACGTCTGTTTTGGAATGTTAAAAACAATTGTTTAAAACATCTCCGCCTAAAAAAATTCTTCTTTGAAATATTCACACTTTCTTGTTACTTCTAAAAATATTCTTGAAAAAATACAAGTTCTTTTGACAAATCCCCAACTGTATATCTTATGAAAATATTCGTTTAGAAATTCACGACTGTAATGGTCATTGGGAAGATATTCTTTAAAAAATCAAAGTCTTAATGGTCCTTGAAAAAATATTTTTTTGAGTTCTTAAAAAATATATACAAAAATATATTTTTTTAAAAAAAATCTTACCTTGTACTTTTTACAAATATATATTTTTTAAATCTTCTTCTCAAGAAAATAAATTCTTTTAAAAAGTCCTGCCTTCATTTTTTTAATCCACACCTTCATAAAAAATTCTTTAAAAATCGCCACATTGACAACATTGCTCCATGAATACATCCGTTTTCGCGCAAAGGGAAGTGCTTTATGTTTTTGGATGTTTGTTTATGTTTTTTTTTTCGGTCAAAATACTTCGGGTGCCAAGTCAAACAATGTGGCTTAGAAAAGGTTTATTGAAATGCACGATTTGGCCTACTATTTTTTGGGCAAACTTTGTTTAGAATTAATGGCCAACTGCAGTGCAAAAAAAAGTAAAATAAAATAACAACAATTTTAGGCAAACGAAAATATATTCCTTCGGGTTAAATAAGGATTGTTAAACTGACAATTTAGCAGATTCTTTTAAATTTCTAGCTTGATAGAGAAATCTCTGAGATTATTTTTTTGTCATAGATTTTTTACAGTATTTTTTTCGTGGTTTAACCAATGCGTAGATTTTTTAAAAAATATTTTTTCAAGCCTCAAACAAGGCGTAGATTTTTTAAGGATATTATTTCAAACCGCCAACAAGGCTTGGATTTTTAAAGAAATTTTGTAAGCCTCCAACAAAGCGTAGATTTTTTAAAGAATATTTTTTCAATCCACCAACAAGGCTTAGATTTTTAAATACATTTTTTAAGCCTCCAAGATTTCTAAGATCATGATTGGACCGGATCTAAAAAATAAATCTTGGACCCTTTCAGGTTTAAAATTTTGAAATAATATTTATAACGCCAATGACCTTTCCCTTCTATCATCTTGCATCACATCTTCTTTAAGTCCCAACATGGAACTGAAAGTGAATGGCCTGGGTGTATTACCAATTCCGTTTGTATGTGTGTGTTTAAATGTAAATCATCTCATTTTTGTATTTCCATAACAAGCCAACAAAAGCCAACTACTAATTGAAAAGGAAGTATGGTTTGGCTTACATTCATGCTTTATGGTTACGCTTGCATAATTCTTCGTTTGCTAGTTGGCAAATGTTATGATTGCGGATGGATGGATACGCTGACGACGAAGATGATATGCATAACTATTTTTTTTTCTATATTTCAAACAATCTTTATTTGCATTTCCTTTTATAGCATTTGCATGAACATGGCAAATGAAGAAATATGCAAGAAGTATA